CCGCTGCTGCATCATTGACTACTCCAGTATGCCCGTCCTTTTCCCAGTACTAGAGGCTGGTATGGTCTCATAGCTAAAGTTGCTGTTCTCAGGGTTCGTTTGGTCTCCTGTCCAGAATCTCCCCACAGCTGATTGCGATAAGATTTTAACATGCATCATGGCCGAGATCTTCCATGGATGATTGGGCTGTCGAAGGAAGCGCAGACACAGCCTGATTGAGTGCAAAAAGCCAGCTCAATTGGCGAACTGCGCATGCTGCAGCTAGCTTGTGCAGGCTTTAACCCTCGTGTCTCGCCCCACCCACGGCATCCCCTACGAGCCCAAGCAGCTTTCTCTCGCCTACGACAACAATATTCTCCGGGCCACTATGTGCTGCACACTTCCGAAATGTGGACTCTCCACCCGTATCCAGATATTGGCTGTTCTGTCATTCGCAGTCATCGCCTTCATCGGTTGCTTTGGATGCTGCATCCTGCCAGACGTCCAATCCCCTCCGTCTGAGGGCTCAGTGATCACCGCCAGTAAGATTCAACACGAAGGTGGGGTGAGTGATAGATATGATACGGTTCTATTCGTTCCCTGCTCACGAGGTTTGGGATCGGAATAGATCATGCTCAACGGAGACGTGTATAACATGGACATTACCTCCCGCAGCATCCAGGTCCTTTGGCAGTACTGGGGTTGCAGGAATTTCATTGATCCTGAGGATGTATCGAACACAGTAGGGTTGAACTGGGAGTGCGGGATGCCCGACGTCCCTGTCGAATTTTTCATCGATGGAGCACCCGAGCCCAAAGGATCATACGATCCTTCGCTGGAAGGATATGATACTTCAAGCTCCGGAACTAGGTGCGTCTACCTCGCCACGGAGACCACCTCGCCGAACATGCCGTGATAATCCACATACCAGTGTACACCAAGAGATGGGCTTCAATACCAAGCACACCATCCATGGAGACTTCATCCTGGGCCAGGACAAGCAGTTCTACTATCCGTTCGACGTCTTTTTCTTTGAGACGACCGCCGCAGCGTTAAACCCTGATACCAACGTCTCGATCCCCATCATCCAAATGACCGTCGACGGCGCGACCAACACCTTCGTTCCACACATGCGGACCAGCCTCATGACCCGTTCTCCTGCGAGGGACCCGATCACCGGCGACTATATCGTCTCCCACACCATCCAATACGTGCTGAACCGGACGCTCCTTACCAGGGTCTTCGTCATGGTCCTGTTCACGGTGAACTGGATCCTCACCTTCGCCGTGCTCTATATCGCCGCATCCGCTTCGACGGGCATGCCCGTGTCCGAGGGCCTCCTGATCCTGCCTCTGGGCGTAATCCTGACGATACCCTCGCTACGTGCGCTGTGGGTGGACGGGCCCGCGTTCGGTATTTTGCTCGGTACGCCCGGTTCCCTTCGTAGCCACCCTCGTTTGACAGCAAGCTGACGAAAAGCTCGATTATCAATGCCCAGACGTGCTAGGAACATTTACGCAGATGGTACTTATCGCGCTTGCGTCCGTCTACCTCCTTGTGCGCGTCGCCCTTCGGCAACCGAAGCAGCAGCAGTCCCCGGCTTTCCGACGCGTCGACTCCGAGCAAGCGTCACTGATGCGAGATTTAATGGAAAATGACACGCCTGCAAGGCAGAGGAGTGATCAGACAGGCCCTCAGCAACTCACGGTTGGCGGGAGCCCTGTATGAATTTGCTCATATAAACAACATACTGCATACTCCGTCTGTTTGTGCGGTTAGAATTCACAAACGACAAACCACACCACTCGTGCCCTTGCCAGCAAGATCATGGATAACATGTGCGGTATTAGATGGCATGAGATTCCAGGCCTGCTAGATACAAGATAGCCAATCGACGCCAAACTATCGCATAGCCTCGTAAGTGTCCCAGAGTGACAGTACCATGCGGTACAACATAATACAAGACGAGCGGGGGAACAGTATAGTACACAGTATAGGCACACACCTGAATCTCAGCAGCGCGAGTACAGAACCCAATCAGTGAGCCTTCCTCCGCCGTCGTGGAGGAGACCGCGATCCAGGCGACGTATTAGATTTGGTGTCCGTCTGGATATTTGGCTTCGAGCCCGAGTTTGGCTTCGGGTTTGCGTCCTGCCCCTTGCCGTTTCCACCTCCACTTCCGTTCCCGGTACCGTTCCTACTCTCCTTATCGTTGCCGTTTCCATTCGTGGACGGAGTCGCGGCAGCCCTCATCGCCCCGAAACTCGGCCCCTGCGCAACGTACCGGCTCTTCTGCCCGTGCCCCGAATCCGGACGCGGCGGCAAGCTATGATGCGGCGGCAGCGGCGCAGGCCCAGACACTTGGGGCGGCGGGCGTGGAGGAAGGTGATTGTATCGCGACCAGTCACGGTCGCCCCCGCCGCCGTATGGCCGCGCGTTGTGTCGCGGGTACGGCTGGTATTGTCCTTGCCCGGGAGGACGGCGGTAAGGCGGGGGCTGCGACGCGGTTAGCTCGACTTCGTTGAGCGCGCGGTCGAGCCGGCCCGAGGCGACGATGTCCTTGAGCAGGCCGCGGTGCCCGAGGGTCTGTGCCAGCAACGTACGCGGTGAGGATGAGTGCTAGCTCTACGATGCATAAGAGGGAAAGAGAACGTACGGCTTCGGATACGCCGAGCACGATGCCGAGCACGTTGTATGCAGCGGGCGCGTCGCTGAAGACGTACGCCTGCAGCGCGGCGTGCGACTCCTGGAAGAGCGTGCGGATCCGCCCGACCTTGCTGGTCGGCCGGCCGACGTCGTTGTCTGGGTGCAGCCCGCTTAGTAAGTACCCAGGGGAAAGCAAGACGGCGGTCCGCACCCGGGTGCAGCAGGCACTCGATGCAGAGCGCGTGGGGGTGGTTCGGGTTCGTCCACCCCTTCTCCTCCTTCGTGAGCACCCTGCCCTGAGTCGGCGACACGACACCGGTCTCGTACTTGTACTTGTGCCCGTAATACTCCAGGAAGTCCATGAGGAGCACGCCGAGGCTCTCGTTCTCCACCGGGGCGTCAATGAGCTCCTTGGGCCGCCCCATGGGGTTCAGCTGGAGGAAGCTGATCGCGAGACAGATGAGCGCGTAGCTGCTGAGCCCGCCGAACGAGGCCGAGTTGAGGCCGTGCCGCGAGAGGAGCGCCTTGAGGCAGAGGACGAGGTGGCGGAGGGCGGGCATGCGGTCGAAGTAGGAGCGGAGGATGGGCACGGCCTTGAGGCCGTCCGTCGCGTTCAGGCTAACGTCGATCTTGAGCGAGCCTACGAAGGGTGGGGCCACGGTCAGCAGTGGGCATGTGGCGTGTGCATACATGCGCCTCGCTCGCACGCACAGAAGATACATGTAGGGGCGGGAAGCGCAGGAGCGGTCAGAGCGGTGCTTACCGAGGTCGGGCACGGTCTGGAAGGAGATCACAGGGACGCGCGCGCGGTGGATGACCTGGACGTGCGGCGTGACGCGGTTGTTGCGCATCAGGGCGGCGAGCTGGAACAGGGTGCGTTTCTTCGTCTCGGGGTCGTCGTACTGCGGCGGCATCGTGACGACCATGTCCGTGTCTCTGCGCACGCTTGTTCACTCTGAGGCGGTCAGCTGGAGAGCGGAAGAGACGCACCCGTCAGGGAGGTACAGGTTCTGCGCGACGCTCCCGAACGTGTCAACGGCGCCCTGGGGGAAGCGTCTTGTGACGAGGCTGGAGACCTTGGCGATGACCATCGCGCGTGCGTGTGCCTCTTCCGGGGTTGGGGAAATATATTGGAAGAAGGCGACGATCTCGTCGTGCAGCCTGCCCTCCGTCGTCTCGCGCACTGCTGCGGATATAACAGTCACGCACCTCTGCTCTTTACTCTCATAGCTCGTCGTGCCTAAGCCGTCTATCCATGGTGTGCTCCATACCTCCTCATTCTCAGCCTCGCACTCGACAAGTCCTCCTTCTCCTTCAGCCTCGCCCTGCGCCCCGACTACAGCGTTGGTCGCTGCAGCAGGAGGGTCGCCAGCAACACTCGTAGCCGCCTCGCTGGCATTGCGCTTGCGCTTGCTCCGCTTTCTTTTCTGTTCAGGCAGCTTCTGTGTTGACGGTTCAGCCTTGATCACAGGCGGAGGGATATTGCTCGGTCCGGCCGCAACAAGAGTGCTCGGATCCCTAGCGCGAGCCGACGTTGGCTCGGTCTCGTACACACCAAGGATTGACGATGAGCACTCACATACTGGTGGTTCGCTATCAGACAGAGTACAGACGCAGTGCTGCGCAAGCTGACTGGGGACAGATGAGGGGCGACGGACGTGATGGCAATTGGAGACATGCTCGTTTCCTCCGGCGCTACAGTGTCCTTCTCCCGGCGCCAACCTTTATTAGCGACACGGTCACATGCCCGACGCGTCGCGTGAATTCCAGAGTGAGGCAGCACACGTTCGAGACGAAGAAGCTACAAATATTGCTATTGCACAGCGACTTTGAAGTGATACAATCTAGCTAGCACTGCGTATTTCTGACAAAACCTACACGTCCTCGCTCCTCTTCTTACGTCGTAAGCCCACGACTTTTTACTTCTTAAGCAGGGCAGGCGGGTTGAGGCCCGCAGACAGACCCTTCTCGCCCGCGTAGACGCCATTGCCGATCTCCTCCCTGTCGAACGCACTTCTATCAGCAAATTGCGCAGCCAACGGAGATAGCCATAGACGTACTCGATGCGCAGAAGAGCATTGTACTTGGCAACACGCTCACTACGGGCCGGGGCACCGGTCTTGATCTGGCCGACTCCAAGGGCGACGACGAGGTCCGCAATGACCGTGTTCTCGGTCTCGCCAGAACGGTGCGAGACCATGACGCCCCACCCATCGGACTGCGCGAGCTGGGCACTGTGAGGTAAATTGTTACATAAGTGATACCCTCGAGGACTGAATACCAGAACTTACGCCTGAATCGATTCGGAGATGGTACCGATCTGGTTAACCTTGAGGAGGAGACCGTTGCAAGCCTTCTTCTCGATCGCAGTCTTGATACGGAGGGGGTTGGTAACCGTGAGGTCATCACCGACGATCTGGATGCTGGAGTTCTTCGTGAAGTGCGTCCACGCCTCCCAGTCGTCCTGGTCGAAGGGGTCCTCGATCGACACGATGGGGTACTTCTTGATGTAGCTCAGATAGAGGTCCGCAAGCTCCGTACCAGTGATCCACTTCGTGGGGTCCGAGTTGGGGTTCTTGAAGTCGAGGTCATACTTGCCGTCCTTGTAAAACTCGGACGAGGCAACGTCGAGTGCGATCTTGATCTTGCCCTCGTAGCCCGCCTTCTTGATCGCCTCAGTGAGCAACTCCAGCGACTCCTCGGCACCAGATACGTTAGGAGCAAAGCCACCCTCGTCACCGACGTTGACAGCTGCGCATATAGTCAGCATACATCCACTCAGACCACTCCACAGCATGCTGCACTCACCATCGATGCCGTATTTTGCGCTGATGACCTTCTTCAACGTGTGGTAGGTCTCCGTACCGATCTTCAACGCCTCCGTGAAGGTGGAAGCGCCGGTGGGGAGGAGCATGAACTCCTGAAACGCAAGCTTGTTACCCGCGTGCGAGCCACCGTTGATAACGTTGAACGCAGGGGTGGGGAGGATGAAGGGAGGCTTGACGCCGGCGAGGTCGGCGAGGTGCTGGTAGAGGGGGACACCCTTCTCCGCAGCACCAGCATCTGCGACAGCAATCGAGACACCGAGGATGGCGTTCGCGCCGAGCTTGCCCTTGTTGGGAGTGCCGTCGAGCTTGATGAGGAAGTCATCGATTTCCTTCTGTGCCGTGACCTCGAGGCCGGACTTGTCGAGCTCGGGGGCGATCACGTCGTTGACGTTCGCAACCGCCTTGGTGACACCTACGAGCACAGGCGATCCAGTCTCGTCAATCGCAGCAAGGCAGAGAAAGGCAAGAGAACGTACCCTTGCCGACATACGCGTTCTTGTCGCCGTCGCGAAGCTCAACAGCCTCGTGCACACCAGTGGACGCACCTGAGGGTACCGAAGCACGGAAACGGCCTAGAAGCGCATTATTTTCACTACTCAAACGCGCGACACAAGAATTGGGGAAGCGAGCGAGGGCATGGTAAGTGAGTGTGGGCGCTATATGCGCAAATACCGTAGCAAGTGAACGCGCGCGCCGCTCACTCCCAGATCGTCCTGTATGCCACCCTCATCCGAGCGCGATCCTCACCAAGGACTCTCTACGAGCACCTATGGTGGACACTATGCCGGATGTCGCGCCGCGCCCAGCTTCCCAGCCCAAATGCACCGAGATCCAGAAACCGATCGCGTACCTTTGGCGGTGTAGAGATCGACCTCGACAGTCGGGTTGCCGCGAGAGTCGAAGATCTAGGCAAGCAAGAGTCAGTAAACTGTGTACAGACCACCAAGGCAGCTAGCCTGGCATACCTGGCGGGCGTGGATCTTGGTAATAGACATATCGATGGTGCAAAGAGAGAAGGGATGATGGCTGTCGAGTCGCGCTCTCGCGTGTTCTTCTATCGCGTCAAGTTCCCACGGTGCCCCAGTCGGACAGGAGCGCTTATCTGCAGTTCTATCCTGATCCAAGCCACCTCAAACTTAGATTTTCTGGCCTCGGACGTCGTCGCACGATGCGGTCCTCACTCGACCGCGACTGCCCCAGTCCCCTCGGACGATATCATCCGCGTCCTGGTCTTGCCGCTGACTCCCTCTCACGGCAATCACGCTTTCCTCTGGATTCGCTCGAGAACTGTCGAGTTGAGACATAACGCACGTCTACCGCGGGCCCCGTCGACATCCCTAGCCAACCGCAGCTGCCCAATCTTTTCAAACTGCATGAGGCGTAGCTGCCCACAACAGCATCAGCTTCTCCCAGATCGAGACGAAGCCGCGTCGCGGTCTGGCTTATCGACTTGTTTAGCGTTGCGGGACAGTTGCGCCATCGATGCATAAAAAATCGCGGAAGGTGGGTCTTCGATGTTGATGTTGTGCACGTCAGAGGACTCTCAGGGCTCTCAGGACTCCCATTTCCGGCATTCCTCTCTAGCGGCTGCTTCGGTCTTCCGCTCATGTTCGTGTCAATATGGATTCCCTCAATCATATGCACGGGAGTCAATCGTCAAATATTCATAAGCCAGCTCTGCATGGCCTGACTCCGGATCGTGGGTTTTCTGCACTCACGGGTTCAGAGCATCCATAACTCCTTAGAGCCCACGTTGATCATCTTGGCCTCGACGATCTCGCATTCGCTTGACTTGTGCTCTCTCAGCTCGGAGGACGGATCACTTGGAATCGAGGTTATTCCTTGGAATGATTTCTGTGGTACTGACGGAAGCTCTCGTTGTGCTTCTAACACAGCTCTGGTCATTTCCTCCGAGCCTAAGTATCCCCGTATAGCTGAGATAACTGTGCGTACGTGAGCGGAGGTTTGGCCGAGCAGACGCCTATCGAGGTAGGTTAACGAGCAGCCAATGGCGTCGCGCAGGCGGGATGGCATGTCGCCCAAAAAGGGCCGCGCCGAGTCCGTCAGGCCGCCGCGAGCGGACAGAGATGGGAACTGCGCACGTCCATGGCCTCATACCGTACAGGGCGACCTCCGCGGTCGTACAGCAGCGCTAGCTGCCCATGAACGTGCAACCTCCCGGTGTGCGTCCCAGGCCCCGGCCCCGCTCAGGACCCGGTATCACTTCGCATTGGTCTCCGTCTCATGCGACAATGCCCTCATTAGCAGCGAGCACCGAGTGAGCGCTCCACTATCTCGGAGGCGATGATCCTCTGCGACAGAGCAGTCTCCGGATAGAGCCCCGCCGTGCCTTGTCGCTCCGCCACTCGAGCCTTATCTCCCCCACCTCCGCCGTCAGCCTAGTCCTTGCTCTCGTACCACCACCGTCACCACCACCGCCATCGTCGACAACGCTCGGTCTTGTTCTCTTTCTGCATACCCAGTCCTTGTGTATCTATTCCTCGCATACCTCTACGTCCATATCTTAATCCACCCAGCACAACCATAATGCCCGTGTTCACGACCCCGTCCTCCCTCCGCGCTCGCCGCGCCGCCCGCAATCCCTCTCTCCCACTCAACGTCAACACCGCCCCAGCCGAGCCCACGGCTGACGCTGCCCCAGCCGATCCCACCTCCCCAAATGCAGTCTCCCCAGTCTCCCCACTCCCCGAGAGCGAGAACGTCGTCCTCAAGGCGAGGCGCGCGTACGACCGCGACCGCCAGCGCGTCAAGAAGCGCAAGGAACGCGCAGAGCGCGAGCGCGAACGCACCGCCTCGCTCAACCCCGCCCACGCCGTTCACAGCCGCGACGTCTCTGGGAGGCACGCGGGTGCCGGTCGGACCAGCGGGGGCGCGAAGCCGCAGCTGGTGGTGTCCGAGGACGTGACGGTGCTGCTCCCGACGAGCCCCGTGGAGGAGATCATCGCTGACGTCGTCGAGCGCGCGATGCTCGCGCGCGCTGGCGCTCCGACTGCGGCCAGCCTCCCTCTCGAGGTGCAGCTCGGGCAGCTCATCAAGCCCGGCAAGGCGCGCAAGAGCAGAGGTGAGCGAGCTTCTCCGCCCAGCGCGACCGATTGGGAGACGCACGCTGATGCGTCTATTTCGTTTCCTTTCTGCCAGCGGGCGACTTCGAGGTCGTGTCGGAGATGCCGGCCGTCATCGCCCTGGACGACCAGGTGCCCGATGACGCGGAGCTCGACGAGCCCTGGGAGCACATCTCCGCAGACGAGCTCGACGAGAAGCGGCCGAGCGCGCCGTCGTACGCGACCGTGCTCGCGAACGCGATATGACGTTCTCGGACTCCCATACGCATACGCATCCGCATGATACATACACAGCATAACATAACTTATCAGAGGTGGACGGCACAGCGATAACGGATGTTCGGCATGCCTTTACCGTGAAGGACTAAATCCATACTCGTACAGAAGAACTGGACTACTTGACGACGAACGAACGTGTACTACTTGATAACTTACCAGTAACGCCCTCTCACGACCTACCCAACTCCGCTACTTTCCTTGCCAGGTAACAGGCATAATGCTTCGAACCCGAATGTACGCCGGGTGCTTCTGCTCATGTACCATATGCATGCATGCTGCACCACCACCCCACGAACCACTTAATCCCATCTGCTTACCCACATGCTACCTTCTTCGCTCTGTCGTGTTCGTCGTACTCGCTTGCACGCCACTCGCAGATAACATCGCATGCGACTAGAATAGCAAGAGAGATAGCAGATGCAAATGAGATCAATATGGACTATGCTATGCGAGCGTTGGGTATGTCGATGCTGAGTGCCCGGGACGCGTGAACCATGCTCAGAAGGCGGCGTGTCGACTCGGGTTGATGATGGGGAACGGATGCGCTTCGGTGTTGAAGACGTATTCTGTCAGCGACACGTTAGCGAGGCGTGGACCGGACACGAGCAGGAGGGGAAACGCACCGCTCAGCGGAAGAACGGAGTCGTCCTCAAATAGCAAGTACAGATATTTCAGTGTCTCGCTCTGCGCTTCTGTCAACATGCATCCAAATCGCCCGGGGGCAGGCTCCGCTCACCATCAAGAACGTCTCCATCTTGTCCTCGTGCTCTACAGGAACGGCGTCGACGTTGATGATGCTCGCGTAGCCTCCGGTCTCGATCTTGCAGTGCGTCTCGATCGCCTTGAAGATGTTCCAGCCGTACTGACGGTACTTCTCGTCGCCCGTCAAGCGATACGCAATAAATAACGACTCGACGGTCTCTGGGCGGAGGATGTACCGCGCATCGTACGGCGCAGGCGCTCCAGGCCTAGACGGGCACAAATGCTCGGCGGTCAATCACAACCGAACGATGTCGCAGACTGGGGTTAGAACAAAACGTACTTCGCGCCTTTGATGTACCAGTCCTGCGGGATGCTCGAGCCCACGACCTTGTCGCTCGGGATGCGGAAGTGCGCGATCTCAGGCGACAGGCCCGTCGCGGTATCGTGCGTGCGCATGCACGTCTCGATTAGGTCCACTCCGGTTTGCCAGTCCCTCTTGCCTGTCGAGGTCAACTGACTGGGGCGCGGAGGAACGGAGACGGGGAGGGACTGTGCTCCACTGGTCACGGCCCCAAGCATCAGCGAACCCCCGAAGAAGCAAACGAGGTGGTCTTGTTTCGGGACAAGACGCCATGAGCTACAATTGCAGCTCAGCACCGGGTCGTCGTGGGAATATACGCCAAGGAAATGTAGCGCACATTTGTCCGGAGCGATCCTTCTCGGGGATGAGTTCGGACGTGTAAGTCAGCTTCGCGAGTTCGCTTTTCCTGATGAGATGTGCGTGAACGCCGTCTATAGCGCCATTGTACATCTGAGACAACCCTGTCAACTTGATCAAGGGCTTCTGCACCATTAAGAACTCACGTCTTGGTATACTGGTTCTGTCAAATTCTAGACTTATTATCAATATAAGCAAAAGAAGATAGAATGGAGACGCATACAGTCTGCAGGTACTGTTTTCTGAGGCGCTGTAGTGAGCGTGCATGTCCAAGAGCAATACGTGCTACGCTCACAAGAGGTATTCATAGTACGAGTCTCCGCGGGAACCAAGGCGGATAGGTGATAGTACAAAGCGGCCATCTGTAGGGCTGAAGGACGACATCTACTTCAATGATGTGTCTTCCATATCGGCACAAGACTCACTTCATGAATATTGATGCAAGCCCTGTCGTCAAACTTGCGCCCTTGATGACCCGCATGACCTGATCCAATTGTTAGCTCCTGATCTAAGCATTATTCTATTGGGAGACATGGAACACATTTTCGGCAGCGTCCCAGTACGCGTCATTGTCTGTCAAGTAGCTGAGGTACCTGAACTCGAGCTGGAGGGTAGACACTTCCGCGGTGCTGACCAATCCCTTGTTGTCTTGCGCCGGAACTCCCTTCCGCTGGCCAAGGTTTACATTGGAGGTCGGAAGTCCCGAAGGGGTCTCGAAGGCGGGCATGATACGATCCGCTAGCTCTTTTGCCTTTTCAAGATACAGCTCATCCTTCGTGAAATGGTATGCCGACAACAGACCACCCAACACGCGAATTGTTGTCTGTACTTTGAGGTGAACGCAGGTCAGGCTATGCTGATGTGCTCCGGACGAACCTCGAATGTGTTGAAGTTCGCATCACGGTCGAACGACATCTTCGTCTCTACCCACTTGCGTGCACGCGCGTACTCGTCTTGAAGACCCATGAGTAGCATAGTATCAATGGAGTCGATGACTGTGTAGCCGATACCTCCGGCCGCCGTCAAATTGGTGCCCTTCTGGCTAATGGGGTGGTATTCATCGTCACCCATGGCATCTCGCTCTGCTCGAATGAGGGCTTCGTCGTCAGGTCGTGTAACAACCAAACGAACGCACCGTATGCAAGCCATGCATGCTAGCGCACCCCGACAGTTAGGATGGGAGGCGCGTCCGAACCGGTATACCCCGCTCACCTTGAACGCGTTGATGACAGCATCTCTCTTTGCGATGTCCGCAACGAAGGTCGTTGACGGCGGAAGAATCCCGGCATTCTCCTCGAACCCAAAGAAGTCATTGATAGGGTCCAAGACCAGAGATGGATCCTTCACCGTCCTGTATCAGCCTTCACAACGTTCCAGATCCAGATGCACAAACAAGAGTGCGCACCTGGTATACGAAGACAGCAAACACGGAGAACAGCACGGCCACCAGTAGCGTCGTCCCCTTGGACAAGCTGGCAGATGCTGCGACCGCGGTCCCCTTCCCCTGCTATACCAAAGCGAAGTCGTGTCTTATCACACCTGCCACGCAGGAGGAAATGATGTACATACATCCAGAGTCGGCGCCTTCTTCCCCTCAGCCTTTTCCTTTGCCCCGACCGCGCGGCCTCTCTTACGAAGTCCGTCCTCGGCCATGGCTTCCCGTTGAACGTTGCGAGTGTGTGGGCGCTTATGGATGTTACAAAGTGACAAGATGGATGTCCACGCGCGTCGAGCCAGCGGGCGCAGGCGTTAGAAGCAGATGTGTGGGAGGCAGATGAAGGTACACGGCAGAGATATGTTGCAGGAGCCAGACAGGGGTAGGAAATTGAAACGCAAGAGTCGAAAACAAGATCAAGCCAACTCAGCAGCTTCAATGCATTTGCGGACCGCATTCGACGGTGTCACGTGACATCACCGCCCACGTACGATGAACGGTCCACAGTACCTCACACCGGTACTGCTGCGGCTGGTGTGCCCCCTGGTACTTACAAGAGGTTGGCGTCAAATCAATCATCACTCCGATCATCGGCGGTGCTGGCACTGGACCCACTGTACTGTCCAGTGGCTGGGCAGGTGGCACCGTATCACCGAGCAGAGTTGAAGGTACGTTTGCACTCAAGTTGTCCGTGACACTCGAAACCGACGATGTTGTGTACACTACAATGCAGATATTGTGACATAAATGGCACCTCCGATGCATCGTCGCCAGGCTGCGCAAAGCAGCTTACGCCCACGTCTTGACGTCCTCCGCGCTTGGGCCGGCGGGGTCATCGGAGGCAGCCAGGTTGCACTGGTGGAAGGCACGGACCTGATCCTTCTTGAAGGCGCCGACGACAGTATGAAGGACACCGCGGTTGTGGAAGAGAACAAGATCCTTCTCGTGCCTACGCAAGAATGACCATGAGTGTCACTAGATGTTTGCCGCATGTGAACAGTCAGAGTTGCACTGACCAGTCGTGAGGATACACAAGCTACGTGGTAAAAACAAACACAATTGAGCGCCGATTCAATAGATATGAGATCGAGAGTACACACGTTGGGGGCGATCGCAGGACGCTGCATTTTGTACAGAAGCTCTCTGACTTCCTTGAGGTCTGCCAGGCGTGCACCATCTGGGTAGAGCGCACCCTCTCGCTTCGTGCCCTCCGGGAGCGGGTCAATCAATAGCTCGGACACCCCACAAGGGTGCACTTGGAAGTGCAGGTGTCCAGTGACTGGGTTCTTCCATACCTGCGTACGTCAATACCGCAGTGTAAGTTACGTCACATCAATATTGAGTAGTGGGAAATGGGGCACTGATTGCAAACGAACGTACGTACCATTGGCAGGACCTTGATCCTAGACTCTTCCCATGGCGGAAGTTCGTCGTACGACATCTCGAGACCTTCAGACAGGATCCCAAGTCCGGTCGGGAGAGCGCGTGCAGGGGCCATCCAGACATATGGATGCGGCGCGTACTTGACCTTCGTCCGGACCGCGACGCTCTTGAGCTCCGGTGGAAGAATATCGAACATCGTCTTGCCGCTGACGAATGCCGTGGTTCCCAGAGGAACCTCAAGCTCGTCGCTCGTGCCGTCATCATAGCGGACGGTCTGGTGGGGTCCCTGTGGGACGGTCACACCGTAGAGTGTAGTCACCTTCGGAGGAGAAAGATCATACAGTGCAGCATCGATGTGCCAGCGGTAGTAGCGAGTATAGCCCTTCTCTTCGTCCTCTGCTGAGACCCTCGTCTTATGGAAGGTTGTGTGCGAGGGGTGCTTCAGCATTGCCTCAGCGAGGCCCTCATGGTTGTAAACAGTGCCGTTGCCGATGAGCTGCACCTGAGGAACACGAGGAATCGTCTTCAGGTCAGGGTGCAGGATAGACTTCTTCTCGCCCTCAGTCTTCTTGTTTCCGTGACCGTAGCTCTCGGAAGCGGGATCAAACGCCTACAGGACATGAGGACGACCGAGAAGCCGCAAAGGACGGAAACCGTGCCTACCTTCGTCAGCGCATACTGCTGCTCAGGCGTGAGGTCCACGTTTCGGAACAAGAGCGCACCGTGCTGTTCACCTAGGCTTCAGCTAGCCGATTCTCCGCATGTAGACAGAACCCTATCGGACCTTGTACAGGAGATCGTGGACTTCTTTGAACTCCTCCGGGCTCAGTGCGCCCGGGTTCACGCCCTTGACCTCTCTCCCGAAGTCCTTGAGTTTCTCGGGATCGGCGGTCGGGGGAATGGGCAGTGGTAAGACTTCGATGGCCATGATGTCAGCTCTGAGTGCTGTGCGAGAAGTTCACTGGGGCTCGGGGATGGTGGAGGTAAAGAACAAGGAAGGTCAGGCGATAACGAGTAACGCGCGGTGGTCGTGGTCGCGGGGAGAACAGCCTAAACGGCGAAAAGCCCTCTCGGTTCTTATCATCGTGGTCGGGTCTTGGGACGGCCCCAGACTTGATCAAGTGGCGACGATAAGATAAGATTACGCACCCCTCACTGGTCGCTCCATTTGGGAAGCGGATCAAAAAGCCACGCGGACGACACGGTGCAAACAAGCGACGCGTCGCAGGCTCACGGTTTGTTCTTAACCTCGCTCTGCTAAGCTTCTACTTCATCCTAGCACTTCCTTCGTCGTCGCTCTACGCGTCTTAGCACCTCAGACACGCATCGGAATATGTACGGATCCGCAGCTGCTCAAAAGGCCAAGCGACGCACCCACTCTCGTCCAGAGCTTTCGGAGGAGCAGAAGCAGGAGATTAAGGAAGCATTCGAGCTCTTCGACACGGACAAAGACGGCTGCGTCGACTATCACGAGCTCAAAGTGGCCATGCGTGCTCTTGGATTTGATCTCAAGAAGGCGGAGGTGCTGAAACTACTGCGAGACCATGACAAGACAGGCTCGGGACTCGTCGAATACGATGACTTCGTCAAAATCAGTACGTGGTTCCTCCCACCCTGACGTTGCTGGCTCCGCCATGCGTCCAAGACACATGACAGGTTGCATCTCCTTCAGGGGAATGCTGACCGCTCCTACCGCTGCCCTCTCCATTGACTCGTGATTTGCGTGTTCCTCTACCAACCACTGACGCACGCACTCTCTCCCTGTGCTCAGTGACTGAGCGGATTCTGGCGCGGGATCCCATGGAGGAGATACGCAGGGCATTCCAACTGTTTGACGACGATAACACCGGGAAAATTAGTCTGCGGAACCTGCGACGAGTGGCTAAAGAGATTGGCGATCGATTGGAGGACGAGGAGCTGTGAGTATATTGACATTCATTGTTTCCCCTTTTGTGTCTTCCACCAGCATATTTTTCCTGCTATCTACGCCTTCGAATTCCTGCTGTGGCGCGGTCACGTTTATGGTGTCGACGTCAGTCCGCCTATTGGATGTCTTGGAATTGCAAACCCATACTGACATGCGTTTCTCTCCTTTCTAGGCAAGCAATGATAGACGAATTCGATCTTGACCAGGACGGAGAAATCAATGAGCAGGAATTCTTCGCAATAATGACAGACGACGCGTAGCCTCGAGGCATTGGCAGCCTCAATTCTTCGCGGTGCCTGCCCTCTAGTACGGCTAGTCCCGTCTAGCCCTCGCGGGGTCTTTTGCACCCGCAGTCACTTGCCCGTTTGCTGCCATATCCTTGGGTTCCTGTGATGTTCCGCCCTGCCGGGCTCGCTCCCCCAACTCTCTCGCTGCCTTTTTGCCGCTTTGTCACTGCCCATGTGACTTTGATCTCTCTTTCGATTGTACTATTAATGTCTACATACTCTACGTTCCCGACAGGACTGCTCGTTTTGTAGTGAATTGGACGCCGGGATTTCGAGTCCATCTCCCAACGTAAGTCTGCGTGCCTATTGGATCGACACTCACCTTCTTGGAATCGCCATCTGACTGCTGTTGTTCCCGACCTAATCTCTTGAAACAGCCCTTTCTGTGAACAAGGCATCTGTATCAACGCATTGGTTGTACAATATAGTCTTTCTCGGATATGGCGGTGAGACAGGATCGGCCGACAAGAACGATAACAGCATAGCGCATGACAGCCAAGAACAGACCCATTGTCAAATCTGCTTCGTCGTAGCTGCATTCGGCGTCGGTCAGTCAGGTCAGCTGGTGCGTACATGCTAGTCCAATTGGGATTGTCCAATCCGAACGAGTCTAAAAATGCCTTGGATCCAATCGAGCGATCGGTTCAGTAGCCGCAAAGGGCGATCCATTGTCATAAGAGTTAGCTCCACGGTCCCAACTCAAAGCCGGTATTCGAAGTTGCGCTCGGCCGCGTCGGGCACTCCGACGGGGGCGCAGCCACGAATGGATTCAGTGCGTAAGTCGGCCACGTCCTCCCTCCGCGAATCGCGCACTTTGGGTCCATTGCGGCAGTCCGGGTCTGGATATCCGCCCATATGCCCGTAGCGTCCGCGATCGTGAGCCTCAGCTCGGGCAGCTGGCTGGCCTTGGCTGTAGCCTAGGCCGCGCCGCCGCCTGCGCATGCGCCGAGTCAGTGTCAAATTAGCCCGAGGCCGCAGACCTGTATCTGCTGTGTCGTCCCGTCCGCAGCAGCCCGCCCCACCATATTGCTATCGCGCTGCCAGATTAGGCTTGTCTTGGGCCCACGCAGGTCGAAGCTGGCTCCCCCAGAAATGTCAGCCTGGCTGGCGTACGGGTCAAAGCACGTGAGCCACCTTCGGCGTAGTAGTCATGACTGCGGGACCGTTCGTGATGACTATTCACGAGATAGACCAGCCAAGAACTCAAGCGTCCGTGTATGTACATTGACTGCCCACAGGCAGATACTGAACTCGGCCAGCCCGTCGAGCAACCGTAGCGGAAGACGCCACGACGTGAATTGTGTAGGACCAAGGTCTCGGACGACAAAGGACCAAATGGGCACCGAGGCGGGCCTCTTCGCGAATCCCGTTTCGCGGCCGCCGCCGAGGCAACACATCGGCCCTTCCGGCAGGAGCAGGGCGGCCGCGGAACAGACCCAGCACCTGATTTCGCGGGAAAGTGGAGTCAGCGATCCTGCTCCGTACCTGGACCAGTCTAACGGACGGCCAAGGCTTCCCTTTCGTAATGATCGACGGCGTCGGGGTGGACGAATAGCACCCGCGAAATGGTGGGGGGGAACTCGGATCTTGCGGATAGACTCGGTACCGGTGATGACCTGCTTGATTTGTGAACGGCCCGACAGCTTGTCGGGCCTAAAAATCATCTCTCCACACCGTGCTGATACGACCTGTGGGGACAGTTGCGGAGCTTTCTCGCTTTCAAGTGGAGCCGTCCAGTGCGGGAATGCCGACAGCAACTGTGAAATGATGGTGGTGATTATGCCATTTGACGCGCCTGGGCACGTCTCCGAGAGAAAGTATACACATATGGACAGAGAGTGATAGAGATACAGCTGGCGGTAAGCGATACAGAGCAGACAGGGAGTGATACTGGCTGGGAGTCCGAGATGATAGTACACACATATCCGAGGGATAAGACGAAGGCGGCTGCCGAAGAAAAACAATAATGATCATGGAACCAGAGAGGGGATTGTGGACAACGGAGCGGTGATAAAGATTCATCCCATGTCGTAAAGTCATCGAAATGAGGACGCCTGCCCTGTTCTAGAACCAAGCAATAACCCACAAAGAAAGGAATTCGAGACGTCAAGTCAAACACTCCAATGCCGACCGACCGTCGGTCGCGGCGCTCACAGACGATCACTCTTGGGCATCTGGAAGCCTTTGTGCACCCTCATGTGCTGTCCGAGGTTATCGTGACGGCTGAACTCTTTGCCGCATCCGGGGTATGGGCACTTGTGCGCTAGGTCAAGGGTCGTATCAGCGACGTCCTTTAACGAACGTGCAACGGAAAGTGACTCACGCTTCTCGTTAGTATGGATGCTGCGCACGTGCCGCTTGAGGTGCTCCCCGCGGGCGAAGCACTTCCCGCATCCCGTAACCTTGCACATGTACATGCGCTAGAGCGTGATCGCGTTAGCCGCTATGACGGCGGACGTGGAATAGCTCGGCATACCTTCTGCACATTCCCGTCATTCACCACCTGCTGCGCAGTCGGGACCCTCCGCCCGCGGCTCTTCTTCGTGAGGTTGGGCACGGGGACCGGGGGTGCGAGCCGGCGCCCGCTACCGCCGAGCGACCCTGAGCTGGGCGACATCGACGGCGACATATCCGAGGGCAATTCACCGTGGCGTCGTGACGCGCGGGGGGACTGGACGTACTCGTCGTCTCCGTCATCGTCCCGCTCGGACTCGCCACTCGAGCCTTGGTACTCTTCCTCGGACGAGCTCGTAAAGCTCACCGACCGTTGCCGCTTCCGCTGGCTGTTGGCGGCTGGGACGGGAATGGGCACCGAGAAAACGAGGGACGGGGAGTCACCGCCACTCGCGCTGCCGCTGTCGAGGTCGAAGTCGGTGAAATGAGAGGGACTCGCTCCGCTGGGACCGGACGCCTGCATCGCGCTCATAGTAGTGAAGCGCGGATCGCAGCTCTGGCCTTGCGGGCCGACGTCGTGGAGCTGCGCATAGGGCGAGGCAGGCGAGATATCTGGAGAGACCTGTGCGGGGTGCACGAAACGGGGCATATCTTTGTCCGAGTAATCGGGGTACTGGAGTGGTGGCTCGTTGCTGAGCATGTACGATGACATGTTAGCCACATCCTGCCCGGCGCTGGGCTGAGTGTGGGCGTCGTGACTGCCATACGGATAATGCAACTGCGGCTGTGCAATCGAGTCAGGCTGGTAGTGAGCGGCGGAGGGAGTATCGTAGGAAGTGGCCAGAGAGGCGTGCTGCTCGGAGAGCATGGCGTTAGTATTCTGGATGTGGTCGGCAAGTTGGCTGAGGTAGTAGCCTCCGTAGGACTCGATGTGGGGAGCCTCCTCCGATTTAACGGGCGAAGACATGCCGCTACCGCCGGCGAGCTCGTACGAAGAAGAGGAGTAAGGATTGGTTGCGTACTGCGCGACGTGTGGTTGGTCAACCTGCTGGGCCCATGAAGACGGTGCGGATGGGTACTGCTCAGCGGCGTGGTATGGCTGCGGCGCGCCGGGTGTGCGAAACTTGGCATCCAAGAAGTCGTACGAAGAGTCCAGCCGACTGCTCTCCGGTACGAAAGAGCTCGAGGCTGAGGAGGATGAAGCCATCGAGTACGTCGACCGGAACGAAGGAGGGTGGAATTGGGAGGTGTAGTGCGGCATCTGACGCGGCGCAGACGAACGGATGAAAGAGCGAGCGGCGAGCGTATTCCGGTCAGCCACCCGATCACCGAAGTGATTGAAATGGAGAGGCTGGTGATGCGGGGATGAAGACTGTGAAAGATGCAAGAGTACTGAAGTGGCGTCCATGTCCGGTTGGGAGAAGAGGAATTGACGGGCGTGAAGGACCTGCAGGTTTATAAGATGCAGGTGAGCGGACGGTTCAACGGTCTGGACTGGGGTAAGCGCGGATAAGCGGAAGAGGGGATGAGACGCAGACAGGCTTATGTACCGCTTTTCCAAAGAAGAGATCGGAGACATATATGGCAACAGGAACCTACCGAGAAGAGCCAATGGGAGGGAGACAATGGGGATCGAGCCAGATTATCTCTGTCAGGTACGGAGCGGCGGAAGTGATCGGGCGGAGCCTTCAATTGGAGTGTCGTAAAGAGAGCGGGAACCGCGTTACGACTTGAAATTCAGTCAGCACCTGCGCGGATGGGCCGGGAGAGAAGGCAGGACGAATGGACAGAATAGAAGACGGTCCCGCGGGAAAAGCAGCTTTGTAGGAAGGAGGGACGGGACGGAATGAGATGGAATGGAATGGGTCGTCGAGGTCGTAAATGGGACGTCAGAAGGTTCTTGAAAAAAATACCCAGGCGCGGCAGCGGGGGAACGCCAGCCAAGAGCTCGGGGTCAAACTACTGGATCGGCAAGCTGTGCAAGGGAGAGAAGTCGAGAATAGCTGCCGCGGGGGGTACGCCGAGCCCTGGGTAGGGGAGCGTAAATAGGCGGGGGCAAGGTCTGCGCCGCTGGCAGCACTGGCTGGGAAGAAGAAAAGAGGCAGATAGAAACACAGGACGGCTGAGGGTCGAAACGGTGACTGCGACGGACGCAGCGGCACACAGCCAGGCCACGCGCACTGCCTATGTTTTGGAGGCAGATGTGCGCATTGCCACTAGTACGGACGGGATGAGGAGTGTGTAGCCTTGTTGACGCCCGCCCCCATTAGGCAGTCCGCGCCGGCCAACAGCCACCGCCCGCTCTCACGCCGCGCCTCCCCCGCCCAGCCACACCAGTCGCTCGTCCGCCGTCGTCGCCGTCGCCCGCCCTGCCTCGCCGCTCTCCCCGGCGGACCTCCTTCAATGCTCGCCCATGCCTGCATCGCCTGCATCCCACCACATGCCTCCGCGCACTCGCTGCATGGCCCCTTCATATCGATCCCAGACTCTGTGCAATCTCCCAGGTGAATCTAAGCTGCTGGCCGAACGTACCCCGGATCTCCGATTCCTCAATCTCGCTAGTCCGCTTTCATCCATGGTACAGGCGGCATTCGCATTCACGTTCTTCGATCTATTTCACAATCTGCGTCGTTCTCATTTCCTGCACAAGTCCCGGATCCCACACCAGGTAGCGCCTCGACTCGAGAACACAGCGCTTCCCAATCGATGACGCAGTTGTGACACTCCTGCATACCACAGACACCGCTCATGCGGCCGCTTTCCTGGGAAGAGTTTCCTACCCGACGCCAAAAATCAAAACCCTCCCACTACCTTTCTCACGCCTTACCCACTCATCCCGTCATACAGGCCTCTCAGAACAGCGGAGGCCACCGCGCACACAATCGTCTCTTTGCACCTCAGCTTCGCTCATGTTGGCGCACCCACCTGCCAGCTCGCCGTATGTTTTTCCCGGGACACACCCGGAGAAGGACTTCCTATCTCAGCCGCTCAGCTTCTCCGGCTCGCCACACTCAGAAGCTCCATTCACGCCTGATCTCGTCTGCCTCTCATCAACACGAGTCTCGCACAAGCCGACGGCGCGTTGCTTCGCAGGCAGGATGGGCATGGCTGTTTACATGCCACACTGGACCCGCATTCCCGCCTGCGCACTCAATAGCGGCACTCAGTAGCGGCACGCATGGAACCCTCCACCCGTTCCCGCCGCGCCCTGCGCCAAGGGTCAGGCTGCTAGTCGTAGCTCCGTCCGCCTGCGGCGATCCCGAGCATGCTGCAAACTCGAGGTCTCTGCTGCTTCACCTGGATACCTTCACGTCGGAGACGCAACGAAGATTTCGGCGTTCCCAAGCGGCGGTAGGAAATAAGCGTATCTCATCTCACCACTTCTTCGTCTCAGCGTGAATGCTCACCACCTGTTTCTGTGCGTAAACCCAGACCGATGGCCTTTGACGTCTACAAGCACGAGCTATTCGGACGCGTTGACTTATTACCATCAGCCGCTCGAGCCGCTCGAAGAGATCATCTTCCGATCGAGTCCAGCACTTGCTAGGTATTCATTCGCGAACCCGACCGCAAGGATGTGGCCATAGCCGAGCTCGTATCGGACGTGAACACGCGATCTCGCGTCATAGGACGATAATCCAATAGCTTCTTGCTCCACTCAACCCTTCTCGAGCACTACGCATGGTAGGGAGACGTTTGTCCACTGACAGTCTCCGAGGTTCCTTAAGGCGCCGGCGCGGCCCTCACAGCCATTCCTTCATGGCCATCGCTCGCTGATTACTCATGATACGAGGCTTGGGTGTACGACGACTGCGATAGCTCCAGCCCGCTCGTTCATGGGAGAACCGTGGTGGCGCCGACCACAGCACACCCGTGCCCTCCGGAGTCCGGCATTCCCCTTCTCTAGCGCCGGCGTTCCGCATCCAACGCCCTTGCAAGCCGCCGCAGAGGCTGGCCTGTGATTCTTTGCGATACGGACATCGGAGTTGCTTAGATCGCTGACATACCCGTATCTCTCTTTGAAGATCGCAACTTCAGTTCAGGAGGGTCAGATCTAGTGTGGCGCCAGGATGTTTAGCTCTTTGCGAACAGGTACTGCTACACGCTGTGCAGCGCGGAAGTTTCGGCAAAGTGTCAGCGGTGGGCGCTGAGGCGTCAGCGCTGGTAACTGTGGCGAGAATGGAGCTTTGTGGTGCTTGACACGGCGGCTCCGCTATCGACGTGTGGCAACCAGGTTCATCTGACCGTAGGAGAAACGAGGTGAGCTACACAAATTCCCGACAAGCGCGAACGGCGTAACAGACCTCACTGGTGACTTCATGTCAAGTGGGTTGCGGCGAGTCAATGCGCCAGGGTCACTGCTTATTTTGAGCGAAAGGATGGGAGTTCGCCGCCGTTGCAGACTCTCACGAGAAGAAGTTCTTTCTCGAGATCGGCGCCGCGTGGAGTTACAGCGCTTCATTAATGATGTGCGGCTCCCCATTTTACGGCTTGTATCTCAAAACGGTTCGGAAGTCTGGGGGACGCTTCGGCGGTTCACCGGGGAGCTTGCTGAGCAGCTGAGGCACGGCATCCCGTATCGTTGTGGCAGACGCTGCTGCGTCTCAGAAGTCTCCCAAAACGTTACGGCAGTACGATAATTTCTACGCGTATGATGCTTTATGAAAGTTTCGCGCAAATTGATCTAGCGGCTCAGGAATGTCAGAAAGTCGGCGTATGGAAGAGAATACACCTTGTTTCATGACCATCCCATGACGAGGGCCACTGTGCATATAGCGGGAGTGTGAATGGCGTAGTGAACCAGCGTGCAATGGACGGCCTCGGCCAGAAGAGTACCCATCTTTCCTGCTGCCGTCAACATGGATGTCAGGTATGACGTGCAGGCTTGAAGTGCCTCACTTCGGCAACCTACGAGTCAGAACGACTTCGATGACCTGATGGACGACGTTCAACCATCGCTTCCGTCAGCAAGACCCATGCCCTTGGCGTGCCGTCAAGTTCAGAGCAACGGAACCCAGGGCTCGGGCGACTTTCGAGGCGGACAGTTCCTATCTCCGCGTAGGAGACATTGAAATGCCCACCCGCATTCGCCACGTTCTATACGGCAGTAGGTGCGATACTCTGCTGCACCACCATCATTCCGTGTTTCGAGAAGGAGAAGGCGAAAATGAAGAGAAGCCATTAGAATATTCCCGCAACCCCGGAGCACACGAGCTCACCATTCTTCGGACGCACTTTTCTGTTGCAATAAAGGTGCTGGCTAGGATAGCGCTGACGAATCACCGGAACTTCGACAGCGAAACGTAATGAATAGGTTATTCTACCCGAGTCTCTGCATACGGAGAAGTCCACATGACTTTCTTTCGAAAGTTGATCTCGCTCGAGACTCGAAGTGAAGACATAAAGCCTCTGTGTCATCTCAGCCTCAAAACGAGTGAAATAGTACACTGTGTGTGCATCGCGGTCAAAATGCCACCACTAGTGTGCCAGTGGCTCCATACCTCAATATCAGCGGGTCCCACGAGAACGGAGAAAACAAAGGGATGGCCAAATTCGAGAGGCTGCCTAGTGCACGGGTAATACCGATCATCAGTAGTGCAACGGAGGACATGACCGAGGGCTGGATACCCTATTGCAGCCCTAGTCGTGGTATGAGCATATGTAATGGCCCACGACTCCGCTGCCGCTCGGCACCAAAATTAAGGCAGCCACGGCAATGAATGGGTGGTCAGTAGACTCGTGGAAGCCTTCTTTGCCTTACAGAGGAAGAAGCCAGCACCACTTATCAGGTCACGCCAGAAAGCGGGAAGAGACAGTACTGGATAGCGAGGTGGTCAATGAATCGAGCGCCCTCGGATTCATATCCGAGCACTCACGTACAAGACATGTGTAGACGGCGAGCAGTTTCATGTTCTTGTAGGACATGGCAGGTGTGAGGGCTGCATTTCCGTTGCCTGACGATGAAGGTTCAACGAGCTTGGCCGAAGTTGATTACCCCACTCGGATCGATGGCCGACATTCAAAGACCGACTCAAGTTGGTGCCCGGCACGGAGACCAGCACGCCTTGTGCTGCAGCTTTGAGGTGAAGGACCAGATCTAAGCGTGTCCAATAGAGCATGCAATGGTACGTAAGTTATGTCCAGCTGGACACGGGAATTTGTAAGAACTGACTTGTGGGTTGGATCAGTGCCGCCAAATTCCCGGCGTCTCGTAGCCACGTGTCCTGATTGACCGCAAACGGCAACATAGTTGTCACATCGTACTGCACCTTCGTCTCTGGCAAGAGTTCACCGATTTGACATCAACGGCGATATCGGCACATGCTATAGAGTGGTTTACTCCTAAACCCTTGACGATGATGTCACAACTTCTACCGATTTGAGTTCAAGCCCAGCGCATGCCGGGGACTGCAAAACTTCTCATGATTCCTCTCTATATAGTCCTGCACGAGGCAGGCTCATGGTCAGGGCAGGGCGGACTCCCAGATTGCTCTAAAGTCTCATTCCCGCTTATATTGAATAGAGACGGCTAAGCCATCAAACAAGCTCTGTGCCTGGTGGTAAGCTTGCGGGGACGAGGCATGGTTCGCTATCATCCTCATCGATACATGCGTCAAGAACCACGGAGCTCACCCACCCCTGGCGGCATAGTAGAGCATACTTCGTTGCATATTCCAGCGATGTATCAAGACGTAATTTTAATGACTCATCATGAACTTTCGGTTCTCTTCACAGACTATATTGTTTCGTGCGTGTGAGGACCCAACGTCACTGACGGCAAACTCCGAGGTGATTACTGCACGAACAATGCGAAAACCATGATCAAAAACACAAATATACAGTAGAGGAATGGCTGTTGCGATCTTCGGCTTTCCTACGTAGGCCTGGTCCATGTCATCCCCCGTTGACCATGTATCCCCTGGTCGACGGCTCTCAAGTTCAACAAACGTTTGAATGTGTGCCCTGGGCGCCCTGGGATATAGGACCTCGTGCAGCCTTACTACTCAAGAGGACTTCCACTGAGGGCTAGGAGGCAATAGCCCTTGACTGATACATCGCGCGATTCAGAGACATGCAAGAGAAACAAGTCTCAGCCGACCATGTTCAAATGAAAACCTTAGGTACTGGGCCTTGCAGCGCTCTATACCTCCGATGATAGCCTGAGCATGCTGCAAGGACTGCGGTCGCCCTTAGCACGAACCAACCCGCTAATCTGCGCATATACCCATAGGCGAGCGAGAGCACAGACTCTCGTTGATCCTGCCTTTTGACGTCACGACATCGGCGGGCGCGCTCGTTACACAGGCACGGTTGAAATAGTTATTCGTTCGTGGGGTGTTTTGCGATATTCTTGGAAGACTTCCTTTCGGGGTTCAATGGGAGCGGTACACATACTACACAATCGTTAGCGCGAGTCTGAAGGGCTTACGAGCGCCCACGATAGCCGATATTGATTGTATTACATAATCCTAATAAACAAGCGAGCCGTCCTTGTTTCCCCCTGCCCACTCGCCACAACTTCGCATGCGTCCACTAAGCGTCGGTGGCGACCTCTGTGCTGATCAAGACTGAACGACTGGGACGCAAGCCCCGCTTCAATCCATATCAGAGGTCAGTAATGTCCTGGGCTGCTTTTACTCGAAGGAGACTTAATGCCACCCACTTGGACACACACTGGCAGACTTTGCTCCCGCGCACCCACACCAGATCCTCTGACTTCGGTCTGGGGACTCATGCCGGACCATTGTGCTCCAAGAAACTTCGAGTTTGAGCGTGAACAACCATGGGTACGCATCGCGTTGGCGTTTCAGGGCGCACTTGTCCAATTCGAACCTCACACACTGACGCTTGCGCAACGGCGTCCAGGGAGGCGGACCTATCATGAGAGACTCTGACAGACCTACGTCCTTTTTGGTCCGCGGCGCCATGCCTCGGCGTTCCGCACCCGAAACATCGGACGATGGCGCTGGTACTGTCCCCGAAGGGAAGAGAGTCGAGCCTCATGGCCTGGCCCCGCCACGCCTCAAACCCCCACCTCTGCGCCTGTACCGTGTGAAGCCACCCTCACGCTCGGAAACACCGCCTGATATCGATCCTGCTGATATCGTCGAGCTTTTCGGTGGGAAGTTCTGGGTGGTGGACGGCGACTACAAACCTCTCCCTGGTTCCGAGCCTCAAATGCCGCAGGTTTTGCAGCCTCTTCCTAAACGCCCCATGAAAGAGCCCATTCCAGGCTTGTCGAAACCTTCTCGTGGGCGTCATGTTCCCACCAGGGAGACGGCTGGCCCCGACAGGAAGCACCCTTGCCCGGTGAAGGGATGCGACAAGATGTTCACGAAGCGGGCGCATGTCAATCGCCATATCGCATCGCTACATTGTCACGAGAAGAGTACATATTCTCATTTTCTTCTGCTCTCGTTGAACGCAGTCGCTGATCTACCTTTACTCACTTGACAGGCTGGAGCTGCTACGCCCCATTCTGCGATAAGAACTTCACTCGTTACGACAACTACCTGCGTCATCAGGCGAAGCACTCGCACTACCAAGAAATCTTCCAGTGCGCACCAGATGACGAATACAAGGGAGTCCACCTCGAGAACCCGAACGTCGTCGACCCCGACTCGTTCAACATCAAGCCGTTCGCCGCCATCGCAATCCACCCCACCGCACTGAATCTCTGGCGGTTTCAGGAGACTCAGCGCCGAAATGGCGTGAACCTGCCTTGGGGCTCGGATTGCGACAAATACTTCGCCGCACATCCTGAGCAGATGGAGGCAGCGCTCCGGGGGGACCCGGAGTGGGAGTGGCGCATCCCCGAACCAGGCGAGGAGTTTAGGAGGAAAGACGGGCGCTCCTTGGTGGGCATGTTCAGGTTGGACATCAAGCCCCAGCAAATGGATTGAACATGTTCGTGCTGTATCGTCTTGCTATCGTTTGCGTCACATTTGTCCCTATCGTTTTTCATGCTTATCATCTAATCGCTGCCCTTTACATTGATTGCTTCCATAGTCGTGTCCTTGTTTTTCTGCTCTCTGCTTCATCGTATTGCTTTGGCTGTCACACCCACCATTCCCTAAACTGTTCCCTTGTCGCTTTGCGTATGCCCTTTCATTCACATACCACGCCACGTATTGCTTTCCATGTTGTGTAGTAAATTCCGCTGCTATCTTCGCACACCTCCCAATGTTCATGTACCTGTCCGCTCTCGATGAGTATCATCTGATAACAATCTCTCGCTTACGTTTCGTTGTATATCGATATGCACTGTATGCAAGAGCGGATCGTCCTCCCACAAGCCTTCTCTGGCATAACGTGGATCATCTTAGAGTATCCTGGCTTGATGTCTGCTGCGGGTACTGGAGTTTTTCGACTTCGCTAGCCACTTTCGGGCCCTTGATTTTCGTGACGTGTGGTTCTCGCATTATATCTTCAGAACCTTTTGTCGGGGAGCTCCCCGCCAGTCTCAGCGGTATAGCAAACATCTGATACTGTTCCTCATCCCCCTTGGAAGGCATATGACAGCCCTGATACAATGTTCGGATACTAGTGCAAGCGTACATGTGGCTTCGCGAGATACTACGTTGACCTCATAACCGACTGAGGCGTCATGCGGAGCGCCGCCCTCGTACCTCAACCGGTGTCCCCATGCGGGCCTCGCCGTCATGCTCGATCTGCGGCAAGGACTAGTATCGATCCTGCAGCCTTCGCGAGGGTGATGTACCCTAAGTGTTGGCTTGCAATTCCATCGCATTGCTCGGTATACCCCATCTGGATATGGTTTATTGGAAGCTAGGGCAGGCCTCGGAGTAGCAGCGATTGTCTTTCGTCGTAATACTGGAGCACCAAATGGCGAAATCAGGCGGTGTCTCTTCTGGAAGGAGACCATTCAAGAACCGTCATGTGTAAGTAGTGCTTCAAGCCTGAGTGAATGAACATTAGCGAGCTGAGCTATTCCAGATTACTGTCAGTTTGGTAGATTGATTGACGAGCGTGATTGTTGGAGAGCCAACTTACAGACAGTTTACCAATGGGAAAGAATAGAGCATGCACCACCTACATCAAGGGTAGTTGCTATCAGACAGCTTCACAGCCCACCTATCAACGAGATTTGTGTTTTCAGAGGCAGTGGTAGATAAGCGACAGGTGTACGCCATGCGTTGTGGCTGCGTGTGGCCGATGAAGCCGATCGCGAAGCCTAGTGGCAGGTCTCAGCGCCGCCAAGAGCCGTCGCAGATATCGTTCAAGATCTTCAACCACTGCGGGCGCTCCTTGTTTTTGAAATGGCCAAAAAGGCATGTGCTGTGTTCATCTTTCGTAGAGGTTCAGTACGACTCGTACTAGTCATACAGGCCGCAATTCAGCACTGTGACATCCCGGAGGATTCTCAAGCGAACAACCTGACAACCCTCCACAGCTACACAACCAGTCTGATTCGGAACGCGGCCCTGGACATGCGAATCATGAAACCACCGGACGAACCGCACGCATATGAGATGGGCAAGAGAGATACAATACAGTCGTGATTGTCGTGATGAAGCAGCGCCATGAAGTAAGGAGCCCTCAGGAAATACAAAAAGGCGCGACGTGCATCTGGTATCATCATAGCGTACAAAGTCATTACGTGCATTCAATAGCAACGTCCAATAGATGAATGATGCTGACCGATACCGGTAGTGGTTGAGGAAGTGGGAGCAAAGAATTGAAGGGTAGATGGGATGCAAGGGTCAATCGCTATATACCGGTATGCGGATGAAAAGAAAAACGCACAAAGGCAGTAGCATGCTGGCCTGGAGGCTCTGGACTCGGGAGTCATCTACCAGTACGAGCGTGCCGCAGCAGCGCCGACACGGACGATGAAACCTAAGGCCAAAAAGTCTACACGCGCGTTCCCTGCAGTGGACTCATCACAGCTCAGCGCGCACAAGGATAAGTCCCGACGCCACGCCTGCGCCTCTATCTGCGTCGGCAGTGTGGCCAACCCTCGCCCACCATTAGTGTCAGATGGGCTCAGCCTCGCCGCTCATCAGTCCTTGCCGCGCCCGAGCAGCTCATTCAGCCGCCCCGCAACCACACTGTGCCTGAGACGACTTGGCGACTCGTCCTGTTGATGCGCAATGCTGCCGCTCCTCCCGAGAACGAGGGAGAACCGATTGTTGCCTTTGCCCTCGATGTTCGGCCGAGCCGTAACGGGGCTCGTCTGCAGTGCGACGGCGGGCAGGGAGAACCGCTTGTGTCGTCGCGCGGTGTTCTCCTTGCGCGGCGTCGAGGGGAGGCTGCTCTCCGCGATGCTGGGGGCTTCGAGCTCTTGCTCTTCATCGTCTAACAGAGCTTCTTCGTCCTGCTCATTTAGCGGTCCATGCGTCTCGTCCATGGTGCTTCGCTCGCTGAACCGCGAGGCTCGAGGACTCGTTGTCGGAGACGCTTCCCGCTCCTGGAACTCCTCGAGGATCTGGACATAGCTCTTCGGTCGTGGTGCGGACCTTATCCTCATCGCAGCAACCGGCGAGCTATTCGGCAGCTCGTCCAGAGGGGACGACTCGTCTTCGATAGGCGAGAGCATGCGTTTCGGAGAGTCGAGGTCAATAGCCATGAGAGCCGATGGCGAGCTCGAAGTGACGTCGTTCAGCAGCAGAGAGGGCATGCTCTTCAGACCTGATAATGTAAAGTGTGAATGGACAGTGCCAGCAGTGACCGTGACCGACGGATCGGAGGGCTGCTCGAGGAGAGGGAATACTGTGTCGTAGCACGAGTCGCAGGCACGCGCGGACTTGCTGTCCTTCGCGCCTGACTCGACGATGTAGAACGTCTAGCGACGGAAGAATTCAGCGGCATGGACGAATTGAACAGCGGCTGCTCTCACCTTCCCAGAACAGCTGCCACAGACACATCTCCCGCACAGCCGACAGTGGTGTCTCCGCCGCCTCCAGCCGAACGTCCGACCGCATCGCATGCAGCTCTCCGTCTTCCCGTCAGGCACCCAGACGGCAGGGACGAAATGCTCGACCTTCCCTCGTTTCGGTCTTGACGAGTCGTCCGGAGCGTAGGGCAGCGCCTGCAACGTCCTCCGGAGGTGTTGTGTCGAGGACGAGGATGTCAGCGTCGAGTTGAGCTGCATGATGCTCAGCGAGACCAGGAGTGACGACTTTGCGTTTCGGATGGCCGTCACCCACTCGTCACGCTCCTCTTCATTCACTGGGGGTGACGGCGTGAGCATCGCACGTACATGTGACGTACTCTGAGGCAGCTCACCAGCATAGACCGCAAACGACTGCTGCGGGCTCAGCAACTCGAAACCCCGCTCTTGCGTATCCTCCGCTGCCGGCGTACTCACGACAACCTCAAGATCCACAAGCTCCACATGACCTTTATAGACCCATCTGTCATCCACGCCGCTGCTCGCCTGCCGCTTCTTCCTCGGGCTCCCGTTCAGCCTCACGTTCAGTAGAGACTGCCGCTTCCTCAATGCCTCCGGCTGCGGCTGGTCGTCGCCGCTCCTCATGCGCGTGCGGAGCAGGTCCGGGGTGCTGCTGGAAACGGACACAGATGTAGGGGACGCGGCGTAGGAGGACCACTTCTCGGAGAAGATATCCCCGTCGGCGCTCGCGAGCCAGATGAGGCAGTCTGAGAAGAGGAGGAACTCGCGCTCTTTGGGCGTGGAGCCCTCGAACTGGAGGAGGGGGGAGCGTTTGAGGAAGGTACGGCCGGGCGAGATGAGTTGAAAGGGGAGGTTGACAGTGTTGCGCTGGAGGGCGAGGAGGGACAGAGTTTGGGCGTGCGTATGTAATGAGGTGTTCAAGGACATGGTGACTGCCCGGCAATAATCATTAACCTACGCAATCAGAGAACGGAAAGTACTCACTCTTCGACACGAGTGTATGGACCGCGGTGAGCGACGCATACTCGGGGTCCTCGGCGTCGGTGCAACTGATCATGTCCTTCAGAAGGAGCAGATACCGTGGACACCGCTGTACAATGGTCAATAGCCAGTCCCTAAACTTGAGCTTCCCACATCGAGGATCAGCCTCCTGTGTCGCAATAAAGTGCGCGAAAGCTGCGTTGCTTCTCATCAACGCAGCATACGACGCGAGCGCGTCCGAAAAGCTGCTCACGAAAGGCGTGTAGAGCGAGAGGTATGGGAAGTGTGCGAGCAGGACAGGAGACAGGGGAGGAGGCGGCTCGCGCGCACGAACGGTTGCAGAGGTATTGAGGAAGGTGGTCAGAGACACGTAAAACGAGCGATGGAGATTCCAGATGTCGATGAAGTTGGAAAAGATGGACGTGAGTTCAGCACGATTGAGCAAGGGCTGCGGGGTATCTAGGGAAGCGATAATCGGGGTCAGGAAATGCTAATGAGAACCAGCAGAAGTACGTCAGCTAATCTTGACCCACACCACACATACCACAATATATGAGGCGAAGACATACCGAGTGAATGAGCTCGAGCCCGTCCAGATATGACTTCTCCGTCTCGTAGAACTCGGCGATCACCTTCCTGCGCTTCGCTTCCCTCTGCTCATCCACGACGCGCGACTCTCTCCGACGTATGGCTCTCCGGGATACGTCGAGAGATGATGGCCTGTGTTTCGGACCTTTGACCGCATTTCTGATCACCACGGGCGTTACAGGGACGGCTCCATGGTCCTCCTCGGGCAGGGAGTCGAAGGACGCAGTACTAACGATAGACTGTCGGTGCTGCAGATTCGGGGCAGAAGGGAGCGATATTCGACGAAAAGGAAGGTAGGTCGGTCGTTGGTAGTGGAGGTCCAGAGGCGTGCTGGAGTGGAGATCATGGCCGGAGGACGGAAAGGAGATCATGGCGGAAGAGGAGGAAGATACTACAATGGCGAGCCTTGGTTTGAGCATCTGAACGACGAAGAAGAGAACTGCACGTACGGAGGGCCATGGCTGGATGGAAGGTCTGGACGCGGAGACCGACGTCGGTCAGTAAAGAATACTCCAAGAGTCCAAGCAAGGGGAATCCCGCCGCCACCGTCGTCAGCCGCAGTGCGCTCACTCACCCAAATATGGAAACTGTCGTCGTTGTCCGTGAGAGCGTCAGGATTTTGGGCCTTGAAATCGGCTGTTTAACGTCGGCAGCCCCCAAGTCTTGCGAGCGAAAAGTGCGGACGGAGCTGCTTTACGAGCCAGAGGATGCGATCCTTTTGTACCGAGTCGCAATCATGCCTCGCGGCATTGCGCTAGGCAGCGTAGCGAGGCACCTCTGCGAGCGCAGCTCAAGCGCAACAGAGGGGCACACGGATCTCAGAGAAGCATGGACGATATTAAAGTAGGGTGGGCTGCGACAAGAATACGTTGTGTCTAAGATATGCATATCATACCACTAACTCGCCCTCCACAGCACTCCGCTCCAAGCCTAGTCTTTCCAGTATCCGATCGTACCTGTCCTCGTCCACACTTTTGAGATACCGAAGGATCTTCGCTCGCTTGTGGACAAGCTTCCGGAGGCTGCGTCGATTCGCAATATCCTTCTTACACCTGCCCAAGTGTTCCCAGAGTTTGCGGATCTGGTAGGTCACAAGGGCCGCTGCACAGGTAGGAAGATAGGTTGGCAGCGAAGGACGACGTCGCGACAGGAGATGCGAAGCGCACCTTGTACTTCTGGCCGTCCAGTATCTGTGGGGTTCTCTGGCTCTGAGAAGGCCGCGACGATCCGGCGACGGTTCTCGTACGCAATACCCCGCGCGTTCGCGTTCCGCAGGTCGACTAGCCGTGCAAACCACACACTCTTTCCCAGCTCTATGGTCTCCGCGATCTGGTAGTCGCTGGATAACGATTGTCCACTCGCATTGGGCCCCTTCACCTCGACCAGCCCCTGCACCGTCATCTTCGGCAGCGCGTCGAACAGCAGCTCCTTCTCCTTCTCCCCAATGCCGTAGTTGAAGAACGTCGTCTGATGAAACGCGTGCGACTTGGGGTCTACAGATGCCTTGGGCACGTTGCGGATGTCCTCCTCCGTGATGAGCACCTGTGCGAGGTCCGAGTTCTGCCACTTGGCTTCGTGCCCGGCTTTGTGCCCAAGGACGACGTGGGGCCGGTTTTGTTGCGCCTGGCGCTCAAGCTCCTCGCGCCGCTGGACGTTCGCTTTGAGTGTTCGCTGGGACCTGCGCGTCCGTGTTGAGACGGCTTGGAGAACGGCAGAGGTGTGGAGGGAGCCAGCGCGTGCCGAACTCGACGAAGCGAGTGTTCGCGAACCTGGGCGGACTCCTGTGAGACGGACTCCACACAAACACGCTGTGGGTGCATGCAAGACTCACACTGCGCCAATTGTGCCCCCAGCATCGTGCACGCCGTCGAGCCGAGAAGAGAGGAGGTGACCAGCTGGAGTCCGAGTTTGTGAGCGCGTGCCGCAAGAGCGCCCGTTTGGCACTGAGCCGCGGCCGTGAGAACCTCGCTTGAGCCACGTGGGCGAGAGTATATAGCCAGCGCCGTTGAGCAGTTTTCTCTTCTTTTCTTCAAGAGAGATATGCCACGCTGCTCGACGTAGCTCGCTCGACCGTTGGTGACAGTGCCAGTGACTCTTCGAGTCCTGTCCTCTCGAGATCATGGCTTTGCCTAAGCAGGTTAGGAAGTGTCGTAGCTCAGTTTTCCATGTTGCGGCATGTCGACATATCCCTGTGACATCCTATCTCCCCTTGTATTCGTCTTGGTGGCAATAAAATCACGTTGTTCTCTATGGTGGCGGAATTTTGCTCATTGGGAACCAAACGTTTCGACGTTGCATTCCGTCGAGCTATCTGAAACGATGCCTGGAATACGTGGAAACCTTCTGACAACTGGTGTTGGACCACTCAGTACTCCAGGCATGAATATCTCGATGACGGAAACCTGGCACGCATGCCTACTACCCTACTACCCTTCGGCCTCCCAGACATTCGGTACCTGAAAACCTGTGCGTAGTGTGTAGCCTGGTGGTCGGCACCTTGTGGTGCTAAGACGGTGAAACCAGTAACTCGCAAGGCTGACCAGTCCCGCAATTGTTGGACCGAGGGCGAACCGCCAGAGGAATTACTCATGCACACGCAAACGTCGACATACATGTTCCCACCTGTCTACGTCGGACCACATGTCTCTGCGCCCAAGTTTCCAGGAACGATAGCTCGTGTTAACTGGAGTGAGATAACTTGAGGCCGTATGTCAACTGAGAGTGCGGTCCCAAAATTGATGCATTTGTAGATTCGACCCGGATCTGAACGGCATGCAGCGAGACGGTTGGGGATTCAGATACTACGAAGTTTCACAGCTCAAGGGAAGCTTCGGAGTTCTTACAAGCTTGACAGGGTATATCTTGTCGCATCTGATCTGGCCATGAGCCCGAGTCAAGGAGAGAAGAGCATCGCACTCTGAGTGAGCAGGAACCAGAGTGGATGACGGGCCGGTGGGCCGGGTCCCAAATCTGGGTGTCTAGCGGAGCACGTGGTAAGGCCTGTCTACCAAAAATCGTGCGAGCGCTTGGTGTACTAGCCCATACTGAACGTCCTCGACGCCCTCGACGACCATGGCGCCCCCAAAGAAAAGCCCGTCTTCCTCCAAAACTCGCTCTTCTGCGTCGCAGCCGTACATCAAGAAGGTCAAAGGCGAGAACTTCTACCACGATGCAAAAACCGCAAACCGGCTCAAGATGCTCAAGGGCGGCAAGGCCGTCCGCGACAAGGACGGTAGGATCATCCAGGCAGCCGCGTTCCAGAAGGGAGAAGACGAGACGAAACCGGGAAGGGTACAGCCTGATAGACGGTGGTTTGGTACGCCCTACCCTAGACAGACAGCGTTTGCCAGAAACTCACGCTTTTTCTAGGGAACACCAGGGTGATTTCTCAGACCGCCTTGGATCACTTCCGGACAAGTCTTGCTGGGAAGAAGGATGACCCCTATTCCGTGCTGTTGCGTCGCAACAAGTTGCCAATGGCTCTCCTAGACGATGCTGCTAACCCGAACATACGCAAGGTACGTTGTGCTGCTCCACTATCTATGGTAGGTTTAAACCAATCGGTTCCTAGCGTTCGCATATCCTTGAGACGGAGGCCTTCAAGGACACGTTCGGTCCCAAGGCCCAACGCAAGAAGCCGCGTCTGGATGTGGGCACATTTGAAGAGCTCAGCAAAGCAAGCGAAGCGGCTGTAGAGGAACGAGAGAACGCGACGCAAGGGGAAGACGGACTTGCGGCATCAACGTCCGGCGGAGACGATTTCCAGACGCACGCGGATATCATTGAGCCCATCTATGCGAAGGGAACGTCGCGCCGCATCTACGGCGAGCTCTACAAAGTCATCGATTCCTCCGACGTAATCATTCATGTCATCGATGCTCGCGACCCGATGGGAACGCTTTGTGAGTCCGTCTTGGAGTTTGTCCGGAAGGAGAAGGCGCACAAGCAAGTCGTCCTTGTCATCAATAAGTGCGACTTGGTGCCAAACTGGGTCACGGTACGCTCCACTTCCACTGTTTCGTCTATGGCATGTCCTGACAGATCCTCCTGTTATGCAGGCCCGCTACATCCAACAGCTCACCCCCCGTTACCCCACACTCGCCTTCCATGCCTCGCCCAACCACTCATTCGGCAAAGGTTCACTCATCCAGCTCCTTCGCCAGTTCTCCCAGCTGCACTCCGACAAGAAGCAGATCTCCGTCGGCTTCATCGGCTACCCCAACGTTGGCAAGTCTTCCGTCATCAATACCCTCAAAGCCGGCAAAGTGTGCAACGTCGCCCCCGTCCCCGGCGAGACCAAGGTCTGGCAGTACATCACGCTCACCAAACGCATATACCTCATCGACTGCCCCGGAATTGTCCCGACGTCTGCTAAAGACTCCCAGACTTCCACGGTGCTCAAGGGCGTCGTACGCGTAGAGGCACTCGCCACCCCCTCGGAGCACATCCCGACGCTCATGGAGCGCGTGAAACCCATCTACCTCTCGCGCACATATGGCGTGCCACTCCCCGACCCCGACAATCCCTCTGAGGGCTGGGACCCCGAGGCGTTCCTCGACAAGCTCGCGCGCATGAAGGGCCGCCTCCTCAAGGGCGGCGAGCCGGACCGTGAGGCCGTCGCGAAGATCCTGCTAAGCGACTGGGTGCGCGGCCGGATCCCGTTCTTCGTCCCGCCTCCGGACCGCACGGAGGAGCTTAATAAGGCAGAGGCGAAAAAGGCGCGAATTGCTGGGAAGGACGCGAAGGGCAAGGGCAAGGCCGCTGCCGTCGAGGAGCCTGAGCGGCAGCTGCACGTCAGCCAGCACTTGGGTTCGATCATGCAGAAGAACTCGTTTGTCGGTGACGATGTCCGCCCTCTCGAAGAAGACGGGTCGGAAGAGGACACAGGAGAAGAGATTGAAGAGAGCGAGGACGACGACGAGGAGAAGGAGAAGGAGGAAGAGGAGGAAGAGAACCTTGGCTGGAACGACGTGTTCAAGGGCGATCAGGTGCCTGAGGACGCGGAGCAGAGCTATCAGGAAGAGCTCTCTGCGCTCTCTGGCAAATCCAGCGATGATGAAGCCGTCGCGTCGGATGAGTCAGAAGAGGAGCCTTCAAAGGCGCAGAAAGAGCCCCGTTTGAGAACGAACAAGGTACATGTCGCCAGTAGATCATTCGTATCTTATGCACTCACCTGTGCGCATTGTCCAGAAAAAGGCGACAAATTTCTACACAAATGCGAATGTGAAGAACAAGAACCGCCACAAAGCGGCGATCCTGAAGTCGTTGCAGAGCGGCAACAAGAGCGGTGGAAGGCGGAGACGATAGACGAATTTGTATACCTACGTGTGTATTCCTGGCATTGACGCTATGGTGATATAGTCTGGACGAAAGAAATGTGGTGCGAGCTCCCATCAGTTTTGTCCTTATGTTCGCCTGTATAAGCACGACAGGAAGTTCACCGGATTAAGGCTATGCGGTACATTGACTCGAGCAGAGATCCTAGCAACGCGATTCCAACACTCAACTGGCGTGCGGTACGCTATACCGAGAACTACACGTGCATGGGGAAGGTACTTCATGCATCTTGAAATGAACGTGCAAACGAAAGGAGTGTGTAGATTCCATACGAGATACACAAACGAATGAGTACTATAGTGTCCCAAAGGAAGCTGGGGGGTCCATGGTCACGAAGCACACGGGTTTACGAGTGTTGGGGAGTAAAGGCCAATTCGTAGTGCGGAAGGTCATCTGTGGGAGCTAAACTCCAGACCTTAAATATCGGGCAGAGAGCGACGCTTGGAGATGCCGCTGGGATAGGTAGCTGTGTAAGTCGGGCAAAGGTTCTCCCATGCGGCTGCACAGTACGCGGTCAGTATGAACGGCAGACTGAAACGGGGGAAACCTACTGCTCGGCGTAGTCGTGTTGGCAACATCCGGGGTATCCTCAGCCAGGACGATCGCAAAGCCAGCCTCGAGATGGAAGTCGATGTGGCAGTGGAGGAACCAGGGGCCCGGGTTGTCCGTGTTGAAGCGAATGGTGACGTTGTCTCCGTTTGCGCCAGTGCTAACTACATCACGCTGGACCGGGTTGTCATAGTTGTAGGTAGAACTCCCGGCAGATCGCACAACCCAGAATTTGTGCTGAAGTGCGTTATGAGTCCAAAATGTCAGAGAGCCATTAGAGGATGAATGTACTTACCCCATGCAAGTGGAAGGGATGCGGTCCCCCCGGTGTCGCAGTCGTATTCAAGGGGAAAGAGATCTGGATCGTCGAGTTGGAGGGCAGAGAGTAGACGCTCCCATTTGGCAGGAGCTTTGAGGCGGAGGTGGTCCCAGAGAGGATCTGCAGAAGGACGGGAGTGGAGGGAGGAACGAATGGAACACCATCGATGAAGAATTCTGTGCCGTTCTGTAGTCACAAGCGTGTTAGCACCATAAACGTATGCCAGGAAAGGCGCTTACAAAAGAGAAGTCCAGATTCAGGGCGAGGTCAACTCCATCGACCTCAGCGGTACCAGGAGCGGACAAGTCCTGCAGAGGAATGAGATCGGTCTCATTGAGCGCGAGGACAGAAGTCGTCTGGTTAGTAGAAGGTTCGATCTTGGCAGCACCCGTGTAGCGGAGAATGGCGGAGTTCACGCCGCCGTCGAAAGTCGTGGTACCAATGTTGGGCTGAGCACGAATCCAGTAATTGTGTACGTCTTGGTCAGCTGTAAGCTATATCGGAGACTGAGTATCTTCGTTTGCCTCCTTCAATACGGAGACTTACTACAAAGGAGTATCGCTGCCCAGCAAAGATTTGGATCGAGTCAACAACTAGAGGCCGGTGATTAACGCCGTCAACCTCGATGATCGACATGTTGTGACTGTCAATGGAGAAAGTGAAGTTCGGGTCGCAGGAAATGGAAACAAGACGGAAACGGTAGCGGCTTCCTTGAGTAACATTGACCACTGCAAGCTCCGAAGAGTTTCCACCGGCAAAGCGGCCCAGGCCATTGATGAGGACGGAATCGGGGCCGGTACTGAATCATAAGTCAGTAAGATTTCCAACCGTGTATCTGAGGCGTACGCTCACGGAAAGCGGGGCCCAAGACGAGCCGCAGTGTGATACCAGTCCGCAAGCGTGATGATGGTGGTCTCATTGTCGTAGTCATAGAGGTTCGAATGCGGGTCGTTGGGGTCGTAGACAACCAAGGGTCCACGGAGACCATCACAGTATTGGGTGGACAGATGACTATGGTACCAGAAGGTGCCGGCCTGGCCCGTAGCCGTAAAGTCATAGAGGAAGGAGTTGCCTTTCGAGATCGGGCATTGGTTCACCATAGCCGGTCCGTCGGCCCAGTTGGTGCCCATCTGGAAGAGCCCATGCCAGTGCTGCAGGTTAAGAAGGTCAGGATCAAGCTTCAGCTTTAAGACGCGTGATATGTACGATAGAAGTTGCGGTGAGCATGGTGGTATTCTCTAAGCTATCGATGACATCGAGTTGGAAGTTATCTCCCTGCATTTTACTTAAGTATCGACGTTAACAGCCTCACACATTGTAGACATACCATATTACCGGAGACGAGGGGACCAGGGAACTGGCCATTCACCACGACAGCCGCACGAGTGAAACCATCGGGGGAGATGTCCGCGTTGGAAATATTGAGGTTTCCTTTAGGACCGACGGCACCAGCCACAAAACGCGCGTAGAGAAGGCCCAGCGCGGCGAGGGACCACACAGATCGAGAGAGCCCCATAGTGCTTGATGGAAGAGAGAATGCGGCGAGGACTTGTTTCAAGGCAGCGAGGAAGGAAGGAGAAACCGACGAACTGCAGTCCGCCTGAAAATGGAGGGTGGGTTGGAGGGCTTATATCTTGTCAGCCCGAAGCCGCGCAGGAACAAGGATGAGTTCTCCACGCCAGCGCAATCCCAAGGGAACCCCGCCGCATTCTAGCCAAGCGCAACCGAAGAGGCGAAGCCGCCGTTGCGCGCAGAAATGCCGCGAGTGTCGGCTACTCGCTGCGCTCAAATACCGCCGGCACACGATGCGTCGGGCAGACATCTGCCGTCAACGTGCACATTTAGAGCTAAACTGTACCTCGTCGTCATTGCCATCATCTCCGTCTCAAGTCGCGAATGGCTGTATGAACAAACCTAATCTATGCTGCGAATCGCTCGCCGCGTCAGTTCGAGCTATCTGCCTGAATGGTAAAGGTCACTTACGCCATACGATTATGCACGAAACGAAGGTTGCGTGGTTGTTTGTGAAAGCCGGGGGTCGCATCAGGGCGACTGTCGGACGATGTTGAACGGTTCTCGTAATTTACGACACCTAAGAAGAGTGAGTGCAGCGTATGGTTATAGTCGCAGTGATAGGCGTGCGTTTTGCTCCAACCGATACGGACTGCCAAGGACTGGTAGGGAAGCCTCCACCACGGAAGGCTCGTCCGGTGGGTAGAGAGCCTGAGAAGCTGCTGTAGCCCGGCTCCCTGCTACATTCACACCCTGCGCGCGCAGTGGGAAATACAGCGATGGTTAGACTTTGCTCTGTTACAAAGGAACGCTAACTGCCAAGACGAGGTGACAGTCAGCCAAAGTTGCAGCCGTGCAGATAACCGCTCACCTCAGTATCGCCGCCACCTGCTTGCCCTCCAGTGTCAATTTGATATCCCTGATCTCACCGGAAAATCCGCTTCCTCCGATGTTGTGTGACGGCGCAGCGAATGACATGTTGCCCAGCGCCATATAGTCACCCCAGATGTCCATAAGCGTATACCAGTATCGTGGGTTGGTCTCGTCCCCGTCGATGACCGCGTATGTATATTCGCGCGTCGCGCGAATGGACACAGACGTGTACTTGTCTGTTGGCAGTACGTAGCCGAGCGCATATAGCTGACCGGTAGCCTCGAACGTGAGGTTAGCCACGTGAAGCTTGGAATCGATACCAGAGAAAAGAAGTCCTGTATCAGGCGACCTCGGGTCCGGCTTGACGCTGAAGGAGAGGGTATATGGCGGACCGACGGAAGTGATCTCCGTGCTGAGAGTGCTGTAGGTCCCGGGGAACTCATATACGACATTTCCGTACTTCGGCTTGACCACTCTGTTAAGGTTCTGCCCAGGGGCTGCTGCAGTCAGCGCGGGGTATACAGTGTCGAACTGGTCACGGGTGAGGGCAGTCGCACGGACATCGCTCCCCGCCCACGCCTTCTCGCTGAACAGGGCAACGCTCTTCGCGAGCTGGTAGTAGATCTCGAGCGCGGTCGTCGCGTTATTGCCCCAGTCATTCCAGAGCGCGAAGATCGCACCGCGAAGGTTCGGAGCGTCTGGAGTGGTGTTGTTCGTCGGGTCCGTAGCCGAGAAGATGTTCGGCGCCCAGCCCTTCCCGCCTGGGGCTCCAGACCAGAGCAGATCCTCACTGAGCTGCTGTGGAAATTGGTTGTCCTCGGATGTCTTTCCGTCTAAGTACAGAAAAGTCTGCTCCGAGTTGATGACACGATAACCCTGCGAGAGGAGCTGGACAGGGATGTCGTCGCCGGGAAAGTCCCAGTGCTGGATCGTAATGTTCTCTGAGACCGACATCGCCGTGCTAGGCTCGTTCGTACCCCAGATGCGGATGGACTTGTTGAACTGCGCGCCAATGTAGGTCGACATTTCGTTCACGAAAGAGATGTAGTCGTTGGCGAGGGAGGCATCGTACTCGTCAGCGCCAATAGACACCTCAGCTGCAGAGAACCAGGGCAGGAACTCGTCCCAGATAGACTTAATAGTCGGGATTGTTTCGGGATACGATAGGTTGAGATGGTCGGGTTGGCCAGACTCCATGAGCTCCGGTTTCCATTGGGTTATGACAAGGGAATGACCTGGCGTGTCAACCTCTGGTATGATGGTGACGCCGTGACTAGCGCACGTCTGCTGCAGATCAAGGAACTCCTGCTTCGTCCAGCTCTCGTTCTTCCTAGGCACAAGGCCATCAAGAGCGGAACCCGCAGGAGGTTGAAACCTGAACGCCGCGTAGAGTTTCTCCCATCCTTCGTTGCCCTCGCCGTATAGGAAAGCTGGATTCCAGAGGTTATCAGAGGCGTGGAGATGCAACTCGTTGAGCTTGAAGAAAGACGCATATATGCAGAGGTCACCTGCGAGATGCACTTGGATTGAGCGACATTGAAACCCGGACAAAGAAGAGACTCATACCCAGGAAGGATGCCTCGAACCAGTGTCTGCCAGCATCCAACATGAAGCCACGTACTTCCCACCCAGGAGAGTCAACACCCTGGCCCGCAGGGAAAGACACGGTCTTTGCGCCCTGGGCGAGATCGACCGCAGCCTGTTGCAGAAAGGTCCGGGTGCCCCACCAAACACCGATGGGCGCGAGAGCAGTGATCCGGTACGTATCAGGGGTGACCTCGAACTGGTATCCCTCGTCGGTAGGCTGTCCGTTATAGAGGGTGAACTGAGCAGATGAGTTGATGGTTAGATAGATCGTGGGGATGTCCGATGTGGGATCAGGATCGAGTGGCGACAGCGAGATGGTCGTGTTAGTCACATAGGGTATTGCTTCCTCCAGGTCCGTTTGGAAGACCTTCGCGAAATCGAGGAGCGATGGGCTTCCGTGACTTGCATATTCGTTGTCTACGACAATGTGGACGATGGGGGGAAGCTCGAATACGCCGTTCGATGGGACGAAAGATTCAACAGACGGTATCTGCGGACTGATTGCGTCGCCGCCAACACATAACGCGGGGATCGACAGGAGGATAAGGGCCTTGCTCACTCGCAGAAATATGCCTCCAGTTATTGCCATGATGACAGGCAATCGTTTCTACAGCGTGTATACGTCGGGTGTCAGCTACACAGCCAAGCTTCGCGTTTGAACGAACTTACTGCTATGACCGAATCGATGTCAAGAAGCGATCGGGCGTAAGCCGGAGTCGACGTTGGAGCATGGTATATGTATATGAACTCGGACAACGTCTTGAAGAAGCTCAGCTGTTATCGGGAACCACATAACGCCGACTGAAGCACGATATCGAAGAAGAGCCATGTGATGCTCTCGTACGCGTGCGGTTGCCGAGCGGACGTAACTGTAAACTTTCGATGAACAACCGCACGCACGGCAGGCACGGGCCAAATTCTTGTGCGAAGAAAGGCGAGAGAAACTTCGGGACAGTCTTTATTAACTTCGTCGGGAAAACTACGGGCCTGTTCGGCAAAGAGTTGGAGTTACGAGTCACCGGCATTTTGTCACGTGGCGGCATTTCCGAGGATTTCTGCGCGAGTTAGAGTTACAGGGGCGGAGTACCCGTGAAGTCCGGAGGAGACAAGCGCCCTGAACTCGTACATGTATCTAGTATACCAATAGCTATGGCTTATCAGATGGGCTCTGCTTCATCCCTGCTTCACCATGGTCCACACAAGAGCAGCTGTCTAAATTCACCAAGCTATCCATCAGGCTCAAATAGAGCGCCGAAGACAGGCTATTATAGCAGTAACTGTCATTGTTTTGACTGGGCGGGCCTTGGTAGTAGCCTGCCCTAATCCCTCAAGTAGGATGGTCTCGGATGTCTGATCACAATCTACGCCGGTCATGGTAGCCATCCCAATACTCTATAGAGAGAGAATCAAGCAGGCTGCCAAAAGGGTAGAGCCTCGAGATAATTTATGACCTGAGCTGATAACAACCGCCGGAGTTACTGGGA